TTAGTAGATCTCTTGATTATGAACTTTTCCATTGTTTCTCCTACAATGGACATAAGGCTAACTGGTCTGTAATTCCCCATGTTCCCTCTACTGACACCACCCTCCAGTCCTCTGGATCTTCACCCATTCTCCACCAGACCTCAAAAATGGTTTGAGGCCAGCGGGCATGAGAGAACCCCTGCCAACTCCCAAAGTACTCTCGGGTGTAACCCATCAGGGTCCGGTGCCTTTGTAACATCCAGTGCCCTGAGGAGCTCCTCGACTTCTAGGGGGGTGATTCTAATCTGTGCCCCTGGTCTCATCTGATCTCCTATGCAGATTTCCCCCACCCTGCACTGGGGAGAGCACAGAGGCAAAATAATCATTTAGCATCTGTGCCTGTTCCCTCACATCAGTCACTGGATGCCCTTCCTCCTTATTAAGTGGTCCCACTGCCTGTCTCCCCTTCCTCTTGCTATTTACATGTTGATAGAAGCCCTAAAATGTGATTTTTGTAGTACGTTTTTATTTAAATAAAAAATTTCAACCTAAAATGTGATTTGTCAGAAGTGGGATTTGAACCCACGCCTCCATTCGGAGACCAGAACACCCAGAGCAGGGAAGGTACAAGCCTTGAGTCTGGCGCCTTAGACCACTCGGCCATCCTGACATGCATATCAAATCAGATGTGAGATGCTTGATCACTCAAGATCAAATGTGAGATGCTCAAATCCATGAAAGAAGCCCCAGCCTTGAGTTTGCAAGAGCTGAGCAGGGCTGTCAAGGACTGGTCATCTTCAAGGATACTTATTCATAGGGTTTCCAAAAGTCAAAGATGACTTAATGGCATATAACAATAAGAAACCAACAGATGGCACTCTTGGTTTTCTCTACAGCTTTTGCTGTTAAATTTATAGCAAGATGGTAAGTGCTTTTATAAGAATGAATGTCCCACATGTAAGCCAGGAGGACAATAGCCTGCCTGGCCATTGCTGGTCTTCCAAAACTACTGCCTCTGACACTGGACGTTCCATTTAATAATTATGGCTGATAGCTCTATCAAGCAGCCCTCCATTAATTTGCCAAATCCCATTGCCATCACTGCAGCAAAATCCGTATTGTCATGGAGGGAAGAAAACCTTTCTTGCTTTTGTCCTGTATCTCCTGCCAAGTGATTTAAATGGATGATCCCCAGTGTAGAGAGGGAGAAATCCTTCCTTCATTTTCATCATTTTAGTTGTTAAAATAAATGATCTGGCCAGGGCAACTTCTTCTTCCTTCTCTTTTCTCCTCCTATATTCTTTATTTACTTATTTTATACTGTTAATTTTAATTTTATATTATTATGTTTCTATCTCAGTGTATTTTTTGTATTTTTGTATTTTGTGGTAATTTATTATGTTCTATTGTATTTCAATGTATTTTATTGTGTTGTAAGCCGCCCTGAGGCTTCGGCAAGGGGCGGCATAGAAATGTTGTTATAATAATAATAATAATAATAATAATAATAATAATAATAATAATATATAAACTTTTATCATACCGCCTCTCCTTCCAGTAGAATCCTATAAACATCTACTGTGAAGTAAAACCCATGAAGATCAATGGAACTTGCTTCTAGGTAAGCAAGCCTTGAGATGCAATCCAATGCACATTTCAGCATTAAAAGGCCTACAATACTAAATACAACTGCTACAATAAATACTATTAATTATAATGATTTCAATGAATAATAAGGAATACAACTTCCAGCATGCTCGAGTTAGCAATACTAGACTGACTGGGGCATGCTGGGAGCCGAAAGCTTTTTTCCTGACTAAACTTGAATATGATTGTGCCCTTAGTTGTGTTCTAAATTGGAAAAAACGGCACCAACTCAAATGCTTTAGCCTAGCATTTCCCACCTTGGGAGCTCTCAGTCTGCATTGACGCCATCACTTCCACTGGGCAGGAATGCTAGGATTTGTCGTTTAGAACATCTGGAGGGAAGTAGGTTGGGGAAGCCTGATCTATGATTTCCATATATGGAAGGTGGTTTTATATTATTATTATTATTATTATTATTATTATTATTATTATTATTATGTCATTGCCATTTTCTGTACCTTCCCCTTATCCAAGAATTCTTTCCTGAGCATACTGAGATGTTATGCAATATTCATTTGTTCTTCAAAATTCTGTCTCATCTTTTCTAAAAAAAACAGGGCTAGAAACCCTGTGGTTCTCCAGATGCTGGCCTGACCTAATGAGGATTGCAGTCCATTTGAAGAGCCAGAGACCCCCCCCCCCTTCATGTCAACTAACAAGGATAAAACTGTAATTCTATATACTTTTGCCTGGGAGCCTCCTTGGGTGCCATTTTTGGTGGAAAGGTGAACTCTACAGGGTTTTCTTTAGAGCAGATAAGCATAGGATTGCTTAATGAAACAGGAGAAGAAATAAAAGAACAGTACAAGAATAAAAGAAGAATAATTAATAAACAGCATAGGAACTGTCAGGACAAAATGAGTGAAAGCCCTGCCATAATATAGCTGCTATAAGCCTTATGTCGTAAGAACAGCTTTAGACTTAAGATGGGATTCCTGATCTGAATAGGAATCCATGTCACAAGTCTTGCTCCCCATGCATACCTTAGAAATGTGAGCCAGTGTGGTGTGGGGGTCATGAAAGTGGGACTGGGACTCAGGTGATCCGGATTCCAGTCCCCACTCGGCCAGGGAGCCAACCGGGTGACTTTGGGCCAGTCACAGACTCCCAGCCCTACCTACCTCACAGGGTTGCTGTTGTGGGGATAAGATTGAGAGCAGGAGGAGGAGAATGATGGAAGCCACTCTGAGTCCAGTGCAAGAAAAAAAAAAAGAAAAAGCAGGATAGAAATCTAATAAATAAAGAACTGCTAATAGTTTTCTGTCATGTTCAGTACACTCTTAGATATGCTAATTGTTTGCCTGCCCGGAAGGTTCTTCTTTTTGTTTTGTGTGTCTTAATCACATTCACCCCTGTTGCTTCACTCTCATGTGTCTATAGCAAATTGCCTACCCGATCCCCCACCTAATCCACCACCCTTCCTCCAAACTGTGTAGTGGATAGGTTATAAAAGAATCTTGTTACAGGTTATAAAAGTGTAAAGAAAAACTCCATTTTTGGAGTCTCTCTGGGGGCTACTTGCATGGATTTCCTGTATGTCAGAATGAACTGCAAATGCTCTTTGGACTGTACATGCTCTCTCTGGTTTTTCTTGCTAGAAGGTAGGATGCTGCCACACTCTGCAGTGAGGCTCTTGGTCTGTCTGGCCCAATTTTGTCAATACTGCCTGGCAGCACCTCTGTAGAGTTTCAAGCAGGGATTCTCCCAGCCCCACCTGGAGATGCTGGCAAATGAAACTGGGACCTCCTGCTTGCAAAGCACCTGTACTCGAGCTGTGTCCTCTCCCAACAAAACCAGACTTCATTGTTATAATAAAAATGGTTCAATACAAGTAGTGAAATTATGAAACACTAAGTTTAGAAATCCTGCAGAGGGGGAATAACACCTGCAAAACTAGAATAGTTTGCAGCTTCAAAGCCTTCCTAAGAAAATGTGATTGTGACATTGCAAAGTGCAATTAAAGAAGAGCAAAGTACATTTATCTTGCTTGGAAGAAAATTCTCAAACCCCTAAGCACAGCAGCTATGCGCATTTCTTTAACTCAGGAAAGATAGATCAGGATTGACGGTAACCTTTTGGATGTTTTGCTGTAATAGATCTCCAGGGATGTCAGATGCACTTCACTATGATCAAGTAAACCTTAAAGAAAAAAATATCTGCCACGGCTACAAATGTGCTAAATTAATGGATTATGTCTCAGCCTCAGAAGTCATCATCTATAAATCAGGAGTATCAATTTTGACCATGTCTTTGTTCAGCTCTGCTGGCTAGTTTAGAGAATTGTGTTAGAAGCCATGGCTTCTGTAAGCTCAAAAGCAGATGTGCACGTATGCCATTTCTTGGGGTGCCACAGATAATTGCCATCTGAGAGGGGTGGCTTAACTTGGAGTCCTGCACGGAACAGGGGGCTGGACTTGATGGTCCTCTGGCCCCTTCTAACACTACTATTCTATGATTCTACACTCTGTCAGCATCAGGTGTCTGGCTGGGGTTGGTGGACCACAGAATTATAGTGTGGAGGTGAACAATCAGATCCCACAAGCCTGAAGGCTGCCTGCTTCTGCTCTAAAGAGGGCAAATAGCCACCAGGGGCGGGGGGAGGGGGGGAGCGCATGGAGCTGAATGGATCTGGTTAAAAGATGAGGCATGGGGCTGTAAGGCCATTTCTTTTCCAAGACATGTTATTTCTTCCTACATTGCTTTTCAGAGTCCCCTAATTTTCTGTTTTTTAAAGCAAGGTAAACATTTTTTCAGGGGGCTTGGTGAGGCTTTTAATTAACAACGGATCCGATACTGCCTTCTGAAAGTTTCTCATGGAGAATAAACAGAATCGTCCCTGGGGGAAGGGTGCTGGTGTAGTAGACTTCAGCCTTCTCCCAGTAGTGCTCTTAACACATCTGGAGAGCACCAGGCTGTTGAAGGCTGCTGTCTAGAACAGGGGTGGGTAGAAATAGATTTCCAGATGTTTTGGACTTCAACTCCCAGCATTCCTGAACACGGGGCATGCTGGGAGGGGTTCCTGGGAATTGAAGTCCAAAATGTTTGGTGCTCCACCTTCTGCCCACCTTCTCTACGGCATAACCAAGGAGCTTTTTTTTACATAGCCGCAGCTGGATCACGATCAGGATCCTAATCACTGTTGCTGTTTCGTTAAACATGTTTGATCCATGCAGGCCCCTTTCTCTCGCTCTGTGAAAGTTCTTGACGCGTCGGCGCAAGAAAACAGCAACGCCGCGCCTGTCCGCAAACCCCTTGTAACCCCAGCTCCAAAGGAATGGGCGAGGCTACGAGGAAGACGCGCCCCCTTCCCCAAAATCCCACCCCCGGTGTCTATTGATCCTTTTGTGCCTCGCCAAGCGGTGCCAGCAGTAGCCATGGCTGGTGATGCCGGAGGAGGCCTGCGGGAAGCGCTCTCTTGCCCCGTTTGCTTGGGCCTGTTCCGGGACCCGGTGATGGTCTCCGGCTGCGGGCACAACCTCTGCCGGGACTGCGTGGCCAAGTGCTGGGGGCGGCTGGAGGGGAGCCTGCGCTGCCCGCAGTGCCTGGAGCCGCTCCCGCTGCAGCGGCTGCTCCAGCCCAACGCGCTGCTGGGCAGCCTCGCGCAGCGCGTCCGCGGGCAGGGCGGGACGCTGCCCGACTCGGCCCCCGGTCCGGGCGGCGGCGCGGAGGGACGGAGACCCTGGCAAGGAGGATCCGCGTCCAGCATTGCGCCTGGTTCGGCCCCGATCGTGGGAACGGCAGCGGGGGTGTTTTGGGGAATGTCTGTGAGCAGGAAAGATACTCCGGAATGGGATTAATTGATGGATGGAAGTTGGGTTTGCGGGGGCGGGGGGTGAAGTGGGTTGACTGGCGGGACGTATTTCTAATCCTATGGCAGCCTTTTCCGAGCTGGGGCCCTCTGGTTGGGTGGGACTACAGCACCCATCACTCCCGTCGGCATAGCCACGAGGATGGTGATGGGGGCTGTAGTCCAGCCCTTCTGGAAGGCGCCAGGTTGTTCTGTCTTGGTGATGCTTTTTCCTTGGCTCGCCTACATTTGCATATTTCTGGGCTTAATGAAACTGGGTAGTTTATAAGGTTGTAATATTCACCAGGAATGCTGAAGTTCCCAGCTGCCTTTTAAAAAATAAGCAAACCTCAAACTTTTTAGCAGTCGTGAAAAATATTTCTGTAAAACCAAGAATATAGTTTTCATAGCCTGCTATAAAACCAAGACTTTAATTTCTGCTTGAGAAACAGATCAATAAAGTTTAGATCCACTAGCAAAGATATTTTTAGAGTTCAGTACTAAATGGAAAAAAGCCCTATAATTCCCATCCTTCCCCAGCCATCCCTGTCTAAACATACAGAAAATCGCTTGCATTCTTATTTTCAAAACACATGCAATATCTTCTAAACTTTCTTAGAGTTCACTGCCATTTGTAGTGATAACCATCAATTTATCACGGCAATACTTATAGGGAGACCAGTGCTGCACATTTTATAACTGGTGGAAAGTAGGGTGGAAACATCCTTCCCAAGCCTAGCGCTCATCTGGTACTTTGGACTGTGACTACCGGCATTACTTCCCATTGATGAAGACTCAGATGTTCTTCCCTTCCAAAGTGTCTGGAGGACACCAGGCTAGGCGAGGCTTGTCTATAAGTGTCTAAAGCGTGTGAAAAGTGAATGGCTGCATAGTCTGATGTAGTGGTTAGAGCTGGTCTCACACTCTGAAGATCTGAGTTCTAGTCCCTGCTCACTGGGAGCCCACCTGGTGACTTTGGCCAGGCACTGACTTTCCGTCTAATTACCTCACAGGGTTGTTGTGAGAAGAAAAATAGAGAGGAGGATGGCCATGGAGCTACCTTGGGTTCCTTGCAAGAGGAAAACAGGCAGGATATAAATGTCATAAAAGACAAGTAGTGCGTTCATAGCTCATATTGGAAGCTGAGATTTCAAATTCCTGATTTCTTTTATATGTAAGCATTTGAATCCAGCTGCTAAATTGGGATTTTACAAACCAAACGGAACAAGCCATAACAAATCAAGGTGAATGGGGGACACATGCATCATCCTTCTGTCATCATTAAGAGCAGCACTAAACTCAGTCCCTCTGAAGCCAGGGCTGGGCAGGTGTGGCCTTCCAGGTGTGGGAGGGCCATGTGTCCCCCATCCCTGAAAAGAAAAACCTTAGCCTGGTGCCTGCACCTCAGCAGGTCAAGCCTTGAGGAGATTGTTTCATAACTCTAAAGAGAGCTCCAAAACATGCATGTTTTGAAAAGCATTTGTGCTGCAATTCCCTTTTTCCCACCGGGAAAGGGCCATGGCTCCATGCAGATAGCTTAGCACACAGGCCTTGCTTTCAGAAGATCTCAGGACCAGTCAGGTGGGAAAAGCCCATCGCTCCCCGAGAGCCATTTCCTGGCAGAGGTGGCGTTGGTGAGCTACTTGGATTGTAGAGTGCAGAAGTTCTCTGTACAGCAGTTCTTAGGATTGATGCTACATACACAACCAAACAGCAGAAGTGTTAGTTGGTTGTGTAGGTGTGGCTTAGATATTGCTTAGAATTAATTCAGTAGGTACATGTGGGGTTTGAACTAATGGTCTATGGGGAATTTCTCCTGGCTGCTCCTTGTACTTCCATTGATTAGTAAGTCAAAGACTAATTAGTTTGCCTTGAGCTGCTTCATGCTGGAAGTTGCAGCAAGGTCTCACTTAAACAATAAACCAGGGCCCATGATTACAGGATGTCTAATAGTGCAGTCCTTATGCATGTCTCTGCCAAATTAAGTCATCTTCTTTCCAGTGGGACTTACTCCCAGGTAAGGAGGGATGGCAGCCTAAATTGTGTATTCCAGGCAGCAGCGACAAACGAAGCGTGAGGACAACTGAAACCTGCAACTTCTTACATCCCGAGTTGCCATCACACTAGGAAAACAAAACAGAGTAGCTTGCTCCTAGAGCTCTTATTAGAAAATGAAGTGTAGCCATGTGCAGGTGGAGATTCTCAAGGGAGAAACAAGGGTTACCATCTTTAGGAGTGGGCAACCTCTTTCACTGAGGGCCACATTTTATTTTCAGTTTTCAACAGTCAGTCCTTGGGGCTGCCTTCCTGTGAGTGGCAGGGCTCGCGGCAAAGGAACCCGCACCAAAGGCAAGAGGGTGGGCACAAAACCGCCAGCCTATTTTAGCTTAAAGCTCCCTTTGCCAACAACTAAACCTTTGGAGAGGCATTACAACCTTTTAGCTTGGGGTAAATACCCAAGAGCTCAGAAACCATCAAATGATTCAATGGTAGGGAAAGGGGGCAGGACCTGGGGGGGTGGGGGCATGGCCATCTGAACAATCCTGTACCGCTGGATTGGAACCCCAGGAGTGCTGGATTGGGCCCCTGGGCCTGAGGTGCCTGCCGCTGTACTAAAGGCAGCTGCCTACAAAAAATAACACCCCGTTTCTTCCAGGGTAAACCACTGGAGCACGAGGCTGCCTTGAGGAAAGAGGAAGAAGCCAAGACTAACGAAGAGAAGCAAAGGGAAGAGCTGCTGGTAGGTAAACCAGTGTTGTAATTTCCCACCCCTTGCAGAACTTCTCTGTCCTTGTTTATTTGCTTTTAATGTATATGTTTGTCCCACCATTTATCAAAAAACTCTGGGCAACATATAATACCTTGCAACAACACTCGTGCGGTTGAGAGAGTGGCTGGCCCAAGGTCGCCTAAGTGGGCTCCTTTGGTCGAGTGCAGATTTGCCTGAATTTGGCCCCTCTTGGCCCTAGTTTGTTGACCATGTAGCTGTCCCAGGTCAGTCTCTTCTCAGGTTAGGAAATTTCTCAGGTTAAGAGAAATCCTATTAAAAAATTGGGCATGATTAGGAAGGGAATTGGAAATAAAGCTGCCGTATCATCCTGCCTTTATACAAATCTGTGGTGTAATCATTCTTGGAATGTTGTCTATAGTTCTGCTTGCTGCATCTAAAAAGGGATACGCTGCATACAAAAAGGTGCAGAAGAAGGCAACTAAATGACCACTCCTCTGTGAGGAAAAGTTAGAAAAGCTGGGGTTGTTCAGAGCAGGAAAAAGGAAGAGTAAGAGGAGACTTGATAAAGGTTTAAAAATTGTGTGTGGTGTGAAATAAGTGGCTAGGGAGACATTTTTCTCCCTCTTTCATCATATTAGAGTCCAATGTCATCCCATGAAGCTGGTTGATGGGAGGGTCAGGATAGATAAAAGGAAGGATTTCTTCACACAGCACATGGTTAAACTATTTAATTTGTTCTGCCAAGGTATAGTCACCAACCTAGATAAAAGAGGGACCAGACAAATTCATGGAGGATACACTTTTAGTCCTGATTACTGTTTGCTCCTTCCAGGATCAGAGGCAGCGTGTCTCTGTGTGGCAGCAGCTGGGAGGCATGAGTGCCCAGGTGTGGTTGTGCTCATGTTCTGCTTGTGCGTTTCCCGTGCGCCTTTTGATGGCCACTGTGTGAACAGGATGCTGGGCAAGGTGGACCTTGGTCTGATCCAGCTCTTCTCATGTTCTTAAGCACTTTAGCTGCTGAATTTCTGCTCACTGGGCAGCTGTTTAAGGCAGGAAAGCCAGGTCATGAAAAAACATTGGCACCCTGGACCCTTCAGGATCGCAGCCTTTGTTCCTGGCTTGATTTGTTTTGCTTGACTATTACCTGCAGAAGCAGATGGAGGCAGAAGAACAAGAGGTTCTATGGGAATGGAAGGAGCTGCGCCAGTACTTGGCAGAGTGGGAAAGGCACTGGATGAACCATTTGGAGGCGCTCAAGAGAGAGATTGTGCAGGCGTGCTACGGGCAAGTCTCCAGAGTGGCCAGCGAGGGTCCCCTGCTGCCGGAGCTGCTTGGGGAGCAAGGGAGAGAGCATCCGTTGGACCAGTCCTTGCAGGTGAGGCTGCGTAGCTCATGGGGAGGTCACTTTTGCTCCTCCTGATGATGTCGGCCTACAGCCCTCCCATGATCCCTGGCCATTGGACAGGCTGGCTGGGCCTGATGGGTGTTGTAGTGTGACAGCATCTGTCAGGCCACGGGTTCTTTCACCCAAGGATCCCAGCTACCAGCTTTTGGAGCAGCCCCTGAGTCTGCTGCTTGATAGCCATTTAATCTGCACTGTTTAGCATGTAATCCTTTGGTTTCAGCAGCCGATTTCTGCAGATCCCATTTACTGTTAACAGCACAGGAGGAGGCGGGGCCGCTTTTGTTGAGCCAGCTTTTTTTCAAGGAAGAACATAACATGGGAATATAGGAACCTGCCCTCTGCAGAATTGTAGACACGTGCCTGCCATTTTGTCGCCTGGGGTTCCAGCACTGTTCCCCCTTAGCCTGACCCAGAGATGCCGGGAATTGAACCTGGACCTTCTGCATGCAGTCATTTGCTCTGCCACTGAGCCACAGTCTTCAGCTCACCAGCTTCTTGTAGCGAGCTATTAGCCAAGCGGTTTGTACGTCAAGGTGCCTCAGGGAGGAAACAGGTAGTCATACTTGCCTTGTTTCAGAGGAAAATACTTCTGCATAGAGCATTAGGTAATAACCCCAGTGCTGTTGCCTGGCAGCCTTCAAGCCTCTTCCTCTTGCTGCCTTTCCTTGGAAGAAGGTGGACTCTTTTGTCAAGGTGCCAGGGTGATGCCAATAAAATATTAGACACAAGCCATATTTGTACTGTAAGCTATTGTGGCTGAGCTTTTCTGGAACAGAGGAGGGCAGCATTTCTGGATTCAGGACAGATTGCATGTGTGTCTGATTCATGCCCCTTGTTAGGGGGTGGGATGAGGATGGAGCCAGAAGTCGATTAGGACCTTCCTTCTTGTCTCCTGGACTCTTTCTCCCACTCGTTCACTTTGTGTGTTTTACAGACACACACGCAATCTGTCCAGCCATGTGCGTGCAAGTGTGCAACTGTTCATCCACCACTGATTCTCTGCCTTGTACTCAGGGTAGCAGCATGAACATACCGGGACTGTCAGGAGTGGGCAGCAGAGAGAAGCAGAAGCTAAAGGCCACGTGTGGGCTGCAGGCTGCCTCCCTCCGTGTTGGAGCATTTGCTGCAATGTTTAACGATGATCTAATGACTGCTTTGTTGAGCGACCACCAGAGAGCCCATATTTGTGGGTTCTCAGCAGAGCTGGTCTCCCTGGTGAGCCTGGACAAGCACACACCACTTCTGTCTTTTTCTTTTTCCTCCCAGGGTGTTGGAAGCACTGGGGGCAGGTAAGTCTCGGTCTAGTCCTTCTGCTCTTCTGGGTTTGTCATAAGCAGAGACGTGGATGATGAGGTTTGCGATTATCCTGCTTCTCTCTCTTGCGTCCCTCCCTCCTGCTGCCCAGTGTGGAGGATGGAGTATTCCAGATCGACCTCACTGTGGCAGAGCTCAAGCGGAGGCTCAGCAACTTCTCCCAGAAACGGGCTGTCCTACAGGATGCATTGCTGCAGCTGAAAGGTAAGGAGAAGCCTTGCTAACTCACCCATCTCGCTGGGTATAAATTTTATATTTATTCATTCACTGGGGGATTCATTGATTTCTATTATTTATACATCATCACTTTTGGGGGTCCAATTCTTCCCTATGCAACATACAAAGAAGGTTATTCATTTATTAATTATTTCATGCTTTTATAGACCATCACAATAGCCACATGGCTCTCTAGATGGCTGACAGTAATTAAAATACAATCAATCAAAGCCTAAAAATCCATCACCTTTATAAACAAATTAAATAAATAAAACCATCAATCCCATCAGCAGGGACACCAACTGTGTTGACCTCACACAGTGGCCAGATTAGACACATGTTATATTTAAAATACCAAGTACAATTTTAAAATTCATAAATTAAAATACCAACTTAAAATTAGAATTAAAAATTGAATTAAAACTATCAGCTATTAAAACACTCCAAAAATAAAAAAAAAGTCTTTGCCTGGTGCTGAAGTGACAAGGTACATCAGAGCTGCGTACAGTCACGGAGACAAAATGGGCAACTTCAGTGGGTTGGCCAAAGCGTTGCCGCCCTCTGGAATCCACTGTGGGATGCACCCAGCAGGGCCACTCAACCCCCACCCCGTTGGTCGTGCAGCCTGTAGGCCACGCGTTGTCCATCCTGGGTGTGACTTGTCCAAGCCCTTCAAATCCTAAAGGAAAGGCGGCAATTAAGAGATGGTGTCGAGGGTGATCCAGTTACCCGGGTTGCAATAAGCATTGACTGTCAATTCGGTCCGCTTCAGCAGATGGAATGGAGAAGGGCGCCATATTGTATTTTGCCTCAGGCAGCAAAATGTCTTGGGCCAACCCTAGCTGGATCGGAAGGCCACTAGGATTGTGTGGCCTTCTGGATAATGAGTTTAGTAATGGAGGGTTTGGGCATCCACCTTCCAGTATGAGGCACCTGAAACCTCTCCTTCTTGGCTTTCTTCTTTTTATCCCAGAGGATCTCCGGCTGGAAATGGATGGAAATGGTACGTGACTGTCTCTGGGACAATGGAGAGATCACCCTAAAGAGAAATGGTGAAGGAAGATGATCACCCTGCCATCCCAATATTTGTTTTTGTTTGTCTGTTTTGTTTGCTCCTTGTCTTCATAGGCAGATGCCTTTTTACCAAGTCAAGAGCACTGGTCCATCTAGCCCAGTACTGTCAACACTGACTGGCAGCAATGGGTCTCAGACAGGGGTCTTTTCCAGCACTCCCAGGGATGCCAGGGACTGAACTGGAGACCTTCCGCACACAGAGTGCGGACTGTGTCACAAAGCTGCGCCCTTTGGATGGGGAACGAACACACTACTGATCTTTGCAAGTTCTAAATCTTCACCTCCTGAAGTTCAAGTCTGTGTGAATTTAAAGTGGCAAGCTTGCCTCATTTCAGAGTTTCACACTTCCTACAGGCTTTTAAAGCTGTCGCTGTCGCTGGCATCATAGGCTTCTCCGAGCCAAATCCTTCTCTTTTCCAGGCCCTTGAGCCTTACAGGGTCTCACAGAAAGGGGGAGAGTCTCAGGGGGGCTGCCTGATGGGAAAGGAAGCTCTTAGGCTAACAGTTCTATCACTTTCCCCATTTCAACCTCTAGCCAGAGCAATTATTAGAACCAGACTTTGTCATCAAGAAAGGGGATTTTAAACAAGTAGAAAGAGCAGAATTGAGAGACCAAGATAGGCTGGGCCCACCTTATCAAGGAATCTGGCTGGGGAATGATGTGAGTTATAGTCCAGCACACGTGGAAGATGCCATGATGGGAATAGCTGCTTTAAAACAGCCAAGTGCTGTGGGTTATCCCTGAATTTTGCCACACGACAAAGTCTTTCTCCAAGGGAGATGTTCTGCTTTGCGTCTTTGCAGCCCTTCTTGGAAGTGGGCTGCTGGGTTACATTTGGGTTCATGCAGAGGAAGCTTTATGTTGCCCTGCACATAAACTCTCCATTCTGATATCTTGTGTATAAGATGCATGTGGGCGCGCATACACAGAGGAAATACTGAAGAGAGCTTTAGTTTGGATTTTCTGTCCCCGCTTCACTGAAAGTGTAGCAGAGGGAAAGGGGGTGGAGCTGGCATTTGAAATGTTGAATTCTGTCCAGAATGGGCATACCAGGTCTCATTCTGACCTCTTGAGGTGAATTGGGCTTAATGAGTTACAGACAAGTTCCCAAATGCAAGTGCAAACCAAGGGCCTCACTTCACCTGGCAAACCACATAGCTTCTCTTTTCAGCAGATGCCTCATTTTGACCCCTTGTGCTGAGTCGAATACCTGTCCCGTCTACAAGCCACGGCAATCAGCCATTCTTTCCCCACTCTGCTCTTAAAACTAAAGCCTAATCTTTCCCTCTTGTGCTCAGGCTACAGAATAGCATCCTCGTTTCAGTCCGCACTGATCCACCCTCCTCAGGAAGACAGGAGGGAAACCGCTGCAGCACAGTTCATTCAGGTACTTGATTTCCTGAGAGTGGCTAACATGGTGACTCTCTTTAATTTTCAGATTTTGGAGGTGAGTCTGACTCCTTTTGTATCATAAACGGCTGCGTATGTGAGAGGGAACTCGAAGGTTTCCAGGCGTCGTCCCCCCCCTCCACACCCACCCACCCACCCACCCACACACACACACACACACACACAGCACCCTGGGAGAAAAGTGCAGTAGGGGACACTCAAAGCACCCTAGGGATGGTGCTCAGTTGCCATGGACTGCTAGGTCAGTGCTGGGGCCGTGGGACTGCAAATGGAATGGAGACTCCTGGCTGAACGCTGCACAGGAGCACTCCATGCTGCAACATTTTGTTGCAGGCCTCACTTGTGATAATTGTTTTATGGACAAGTGAGTTTGTGTAGACTGAGCAGGGGTAGTGAGGGATGATGGAAGATGAACTAAATCTCCTGACACTGGCTAGAATTGGGCCCTGCTCAGTCAGAATAACAGACACTTAATTTAGGTCATGAAATATTCTCCAAGTCATGCTGTCTATTTTCACTCTGTGTTCGTTGTTTGCTTACCTTAGGACTTAATTTGATGCATACTTAGAAGGACCAGAGAGTCCTTCAACCCGCAGCCTTCCCTGGTCAGCCATGAATAGGGTTGCACCCATAATATTGGTGTTCTTTTATGAAGACGTATTCTTTTACAGTTCATTGTAAACCACTTTGAGGAGCAGGTTGGGAGCTTTTTTTTAATGGACAGTGCCATATGAATACTATTAAAGGAATAAAGCAAAGGTTTCTGCTTTCATTGTAATATATGCCCTTTACTTCTCCTGATTGCAGAGAAACACTTCTGAAAAGCGCCGTGTATCTGATGAAGAAGTAAAAGGAGGCATTTTGGACAGACCTTCTAATCTACAGGTTCATGCCTGCCCCTACCTTGGGAAAATTAAAAACTGCAGGTGTTGGGGCTAGTGCAGGGGTGTTTCGCCAGGTTTTAGGCCAGGGACCAGTTATTGCATTGGAGAAGCTGCCGGGGAAGCATTTCAGTCGTGGGTAGAGCTAAAGGCACAAAGAATACAACCAAAAATACCCAGTCTGTTTCAACTAAAGCTCTTACTGCCAGTAACCAAACTTTAGAAAAGCAGCACTCGACCCAGAAAAACATCAAACAATCAGTGGGTGGGGAAAAGGGCTGGACTGGGGAAGGGGTCAGGGGCATCTTGAAAGCTGCAGGTAATCAGTTTCCATCTGAGGTTCCACCTGAAGACCGGACAGCTAATGAAGGGCCTTGCAAATTGTTTCCCCCTATACAGTTAATTGGAAAGCTTTCCCTGCAGCTCTTGGATGTTTTCCTTCCTGTCTTCCTACGCCTGGAAGCCAGCATGATACTGCCTGGAAGCCAGCATGAATTTTTTTTCAGCTGTCTCCCCTCACCAGTCACTCCCACCTCCCTGCCCAGGGCAACGTTCCTTCCTGTGTGGCAACTTAATTAAAAACTTTCTCGCTTTGCTTCAAAACAGCGTATTAAGAACATGCATGCCATTTCTTCAGGAAGGGAAAGCACAGAGCTCCGCCACGGAGACAGAGTGGAGCAGGGGCTGCAGTTTTGGCCTAAGAGCTTGGGTGGCCCATCTTCTAGTCTCCACTCAGCCGTGAAGCGCAAAGCGTGACTTGGGGCCTGGTACTGACTCTGTAGCACCTACCTCACAGGGTTGTTGTGAGAATTAAATGTGAGTGGGGGGGGGACACCAGGTATGTTGCCTTTGCTTCTTCACAAGAGAAAAAAAGTCAGGATGTATATGTAATGCTAAGTAGGTGAATGAATAATCTACCATAGCAGGGTGCCACTGTTCCTTACATATGGACTGTGAAGCTTATGTTGCCCCAGTTCTTATTTTTCTCTGCATCTGTAAGTTTGGAAGGCCTGGGAAATTTTTATTTAGCCTTTGGATGAGAATCCTGGCATTGCCTGTGTAAAGAACTGGGCAGAATCCCTTTGCACCTTGCTCTTGCCACTGGAGCAGCAGGTGCTGATTGAGCCTCTTGGTGTTTCAGGAGCTGACGGCCTTCAAGAGAACCTCAGTGTATTCCCAGGAGTCGCCGGTGGACTTCCCAGGGGTTACTGCCACCATCCCCAGGAGGATCAAGGAGGAGGAGGAGGAGGCTGGCATCACTGCAGGTTGGCACCCCGTCCTTTTCACTGCAGTGCAGATACTGCGCAGCTGCAAGGCCGGGGGATATAGGAACGTTTGAGGACACCGAAACAATCTAATAGGGTATTCTAAAGGAAACGGAAAATAATAAATTTGGAGATTTAACAGACAAGGGCAAGATCCAAATTTCTAGTCCCCATGCCTGTGATGTAGCCAAATTTGCAAACAGAGGAACTGCATATGACCAGGTGCAGCTGAGAATGCTGGGATCTCTGTTAAGGGGAGCATCTTGGCGGCTTCCTGTTCCGGGAAGGAGGCGTGGGGCAGAACTGGATTTGCTTCACCTCCTGAACGACCGGTTGCCCCCTTGGATGTCAGGGGCAGGCGGGGGGGTGCGAGCCAGTGGCGGTTCATTTGCGTTCATTTCATCCAGGTGTTTCGCTCTGCAGTTCCCATGATCCCTCACCAGTGACTATGCTGGTTGAATCTGATGAGAGCTGTAGGCCAAGACGCAAGTTGCCCCACTCCCTTCGTGATGTTAAACATCTTACTGTCCATCTCCTGCCACCTCTTTTCCCAACTTCGCTTGTCATTCCAGTAGACATGACCCTGTTGGATGAAATTAAGCTAGAGAATCCTCAGCAGAGCCATCCTGAGATGGTGGAACTGCCCGGCCCAAGACTGCAAAGGCCAGAAGGTGTGGCTTCCCAGAGCTGTGAGCAGAGAGGGGCGAGCCAGACCCCCTTCACGCTCAAGGGGCAACAGGGGTACCATCTGGCAAAGAGCAGCAGTCAGTCCGCTTGGCCCAAGCGCGGCTGCGGAGAAGCAGCCGTCCGGAAGAGGAACGAGAAATGCTACCCGTGCCCCGAGTGTGGGAAAACCTTCCGGCAGTTCGGGGTCCTCATCACACACCACCGCCTGCACACCGGGGAGAAGCCCTACAGCTGCGCGTACTGTGCCAAGGGCTTCAGCGACTACTCCAACCTGATCGCGCACCAGAGAACCCACACCGGGGAGAAGCCCTACCGCTGCGTCGACTGCGGGAAAAGCTTCACGCGGAGCACGACCCTCACCATTCACCAGAGGGGCCACACTCGGGAGAAGCCCTATCCCTGCCCGCAGTGTGGGAAGCGCTTCAGCCGGGCCTCAAACCTCACTATCCACCAGAGGACTCACGCAAGGGAGAAGAAATACACGCCCCGCTCCTGACTAAGGGGGAGCACAAGCGCCGAGCTCCGGCCTGATGCAGGGCACCCAGCCATGCGCACGACGCAGCCGGCAGGCAGGCAGGCAGGCTCCCTTCGGCAAAGCGTGCTGGCCACTGAGTGACCCACTGCAGGTGCTCCTTGGGAGGCTGAACCTGCCCTGAGTTTCCTGGCTAAGCAACCCTTGCTCTGCTCTGGCAGCCGGATTGTGCAGAGAGCCAGCTTCTCAAGATTAGGGATCCAGACCTTTAATGATCATACAGGTACACAAGCAGGAATGCTGGGCAACCATAGCTCAAATCACGGTGCTGCCCGGTGGTTGGGGATCTGGGTGCAAAAGGCAGCTTAATTTATTGTAACTAGGACCTTGCGTAGTTGTCATATTACTGCTTTCACCCACCTTGAGCTTTTGGGATAGGGCAGGCCATCCATTCACGAGTGGATTATAGCAGAGTGCCAGGCCAGGAGTTCTGCATGCAGAAGGTCCCATGTTTCAACCCTGGCACCTTCTCACAAGGCTGGGAAAGGACTCCGAAAACCTCCGGAGAGCTCCAACCTGTCTGTAAACAAGCCTTCCCCAACCTGGTGTCCTCCAGAAGAATTGGACTGAAACTCCCATCAGCACCTCCAGTGCTTATGCTGGCTGGAGATTGTGGGAGCTGCAATTTGGTGCAGGCGGTACTGAGCTGGAGGAACCAGGCAGCTTCTTCTGTTCCTGTCATTCTAGCCCAGGGATGCAGAACTCCTGCCCAGCTTGCAGGGGGCAATCTAGGATTTCTCTCCAGCCACCCAGGTTGTCCAGATGGCCATTTCCTCTTTCTCTGGCAGCATCTCTTTTCCTCCACCTGTTTGGTGGTTTCCAGGCAGTTTTGCAAGGTTTCCCCCCTCCCCTAAAGGTCAGTTGCTGGCCGAAAGAGCTTCAAGTTATAATTTGACCGTGCTGCTTTGATCCTGCCTGGTCCTGGAACGCTGCACCCAAGAGCTTTCCCAAAATGGAATTAGGCCCTCGAGCTGAAATTGGTTCTGCAGCCTGTTCTAGCCTAGGGATGGCCTCACCTGGGTAAGTGGTGAGTGTTGCTCTGCTCAATCCCCACGGAGACTGTGCAGTCTTAAGAAGAGGCTGGATGCATTGGACCAGGGAACGCCCTGCCCTGCTTACTGGACCAGCCAGCCAGATGGTTCTGGGAAGCCCACAGGCGGGGCTTGGAGCAGTTCCCCCTCCCGCAAGGGGCTCACCGCACAAGTGAGGAGCTGCCACAGAGGCCTGGGGATGGTCCTGGGTCCGGCTCAGGCATCCAGCCAGTCCCTCCCATTCTCCCCAGCATTCCACGAGCAGTCCGTGGCTACCGAGCATGCTCAGTCTCACTGGGCTGTTCTCGGGGTTCTTCCCCCCATGAACTGAGGGCATTCTTTCCTAGAGCTTTTTTGTTGCTTCTGGAATCCTTGGGATTATCCTAAGCCTGCTGATACCTCTCTCTTCTGCATGGCGGGTGCCATTTCACCTATGGAAACCAATGGCACATACAGCCTGAACATTAGAAACAGAGGGAAGGGTTGGGTGTTTGGCTTTTTCCAAAATGATACAGCCACACCTGGCCTTTAGTGGGTTCTTCCCTGCCCCCCTGCCAAAGTGTGGGATTCCACCTGGGAGCCTCTTCAGCTGCCTCTTCAGAAGAGCCTCTTCTTCGGCTCTTTGTCTGCAATGGGCAAATGAATGCTATATGGAAAAAGCCTTCCCCGTGTCGGCTTTCACTATGCGACGGGGCATGGTCAACGTCTTGGCTTTGGCTGTCTGGTGTGGTGGCTTTGCAGTTGCCATTGATGGCCAAGTTGGCTGCAAATGACAAAAGACCATAATGAAAAACAAGGCCAGCTTTTTTTCTATCCAGTAAGGATTCCTGAAAGGTGCTGAGGCATGTGGACTTGTGGCTTTCAAAGTAAATCTGATGGGATGAGGCATTTCCCTAAAAGCCGTACCTACTTACGTTATGTTGGTTCTGGAACTATTCGCTCCTGCAACCTGAGTTTTGCAGGCAGCTGGAAGGCGTCACTGGACATTCCATGGCCTTGGACTGCCTCATTCGTCCTATGATGGCTCCTCCTTACCCTGAAAAAGTGTGAATAAACAGATGTTTTACAAAAGTGTTGTTCATCTGTAGGTTTCTTTCTCCAGAGTTAATAGAGGCTATCCTGATCAGGCTCAATGGAGCCTCTTGCCGCAAAGAGGGAAAAGATTGGAACCCTCATCTTTGAACTGCGGCATGTGCCCTTGTATTTAGCCCTTCCTGAGAAAATCTCTACAGTACTTTCAAAAGCTGTAGGCTCCACAGAATTAGTTTCATGTGACCTAGCTAAATACACCCTAGACTTCATCATAAAGGGCACAGAAGACCCAGGTGAGATATAGGTGCTCTTGATCGAGATCATCTGAGTAGTTTGCACACAATGTATTCTGTTAAGTATATCTGATACTACCGCTTTGGGGAGTTTAGGGTAGCTAAAGGCCATGTAATGCAAGAGGCAGGTGAAGTCGGGGTGGGAAGGTGAAGGATTCAGGTGGAGCTTGGCATCAGGAGACATGTTCACAGAATAAGCAGTGCCTTGATTGGATCTTGAGGATAAGATGCCACGTGTGCAAAATATTGCGTACTTGTGTGATGGATACTCATTTAGCCAGAGCCAAAGATTCAGTCCCTGAATCTATGCAATAAACAATTATACATTGCTCTAATTGTATGAATGAATGAATAGGTGTGTAGAAAACACATATAATTTGTATACAATGTACAAATAATTGCTGGAGAAAAAACTCAAGGGTTTATTAATTTTTTATCCTGCTTTCCTTATATTCTCATTTTACTTTCACAACACCTTGTCAAATGTTTAGGATGTGAGACTGACAAGGGCACCAAGATTCAGACTTGGGATTCCCTGATCCAAGACTGAAAATTTTACTATTCTAGTTCCCCTATTTAAAATATAAAGTGAAAAAAATGGAGAAAATGCATGCATAAATCTAACACAATGATTAAAGGGCAACTAATACATTCCATATCCAGAGAGGAAACTTTATTATTCCGTTCCTGCAAAACCAACCAAAGTTATGATGGTATAAGCTTTTGTCAACTGCAGCCCTGGGTTGTCTGTGAAGAGTATAAATTAGAATTAAAGAGTAGAGTTGGAAGGGGCCATGAAGGCCATCAGGTCCAACCCCCTGCTGTTGCAGGACACCCGTGTCACACCATCCCACTCAGATGACAGTCCAATTTCACCTAGAATGTCTCCAGTGTGGGAGAGGCCCCCACCTCTCTAGGCACCTGGTTCCACTGTCATATTGCTCTGACAGTGAGGAAGTGTCTCCGGATGTTCAGCCTGAATCTGGGTTGTCGCAACTTGAATTGATTATCCGTGTCCTACACTCTGGCATCAGCAAGAAGAGATCTTGATCTTCCTCTTTGTGACACCCTTTGAGGTACTTATAGAGGGAAAGCATGTCCCCCCTCAGTCTTTTCTTCTCAAGGCTGAACATGCCCAGTTCTCTTAGTCTCTCAAAAAGAACAGAAGAAAGGAAGAGGACGTGCAATATTTGCTAAAACTATTTATCCCTGTACAGAAATACAGGAAGATGAAGCTGGTAGCTCCATATTGCTCTGACAGTGAGGAAACTTCCTAATGACAAAGGTGAAAATGTTAAATTCCTACTTTGGTTCAGTCTTTTCCCAACAGCTGGTCTATGACCACCCAGGCAGAAATTAAGTACAAACTGTAAGGTCAGGATTGAAGCTTGACATTAATAAATAAATGGTCAAGGAACCTAATTTCTTTGAATTAGTTCAATTCCGCAGCATCCTAGAGTCTCAAAGGAACTGGCAGAAGAACTCTCAAAACCACTGTCTTATTATATTTGAGAAATCATGGAGGATGGGATGTGCAAGACGGTTGAAGATGGGCTAGTGTCTCTATCATTAAAAAGGGCAAAAAAGAGGATCCTAACTACAGACCAGTCTATCTGACACCAATCCCATCAAAATTCTAGAGCAGATAATAAGTCAGTCCGTAAGCACTTAACAATGGAGTAAGTACTAGAAGTCAGCATGAATTCTGCAAGAACACATATTAGCAGACTAATCTGATCTCTTGTTTTGATTGGGTAACCACTTTTGCGGACTGGGAAAGCTGTGGGCATAATCCGTCTTGGCTTCAACAGAGCTTTTAACAACATGCTCCATGGCATTCTGCGAACTAACTAAAAATGGACGAGATGGAACAGCCACCAGATGGATCCAGACTATGCTACAGAATCAATCTCAAGGAGTGTTCATCAGTGGCATCTTCTCGGGCTGCAGAGAGGGAATGAATGTGATACTGCAGGGCTCAGTCCTGGGACCAGTGCGCTTCAACATTTTTATTAACGACTTGGATGAAGAGGTTCAGGAAATGATAACAACATAAGATTGGGTGGGACAGCTAATGCCCTGTAAGTCAGAAACAAAATTCAAAGTTGTTGTTGTTGTTGTTATTATTATTATAACATTTCTATGCCGCCCCTTGCCGAAGCCTCGGGGCGGCTTACAACACAATAAAATACATTGAAATACAATAGAACATAATAAATTACCATTAAATACAAAAATACAAAAAAATACACTGAGATACAAACATAATAATATAAAATTAAAATTAACAGTATAAAATAAGTAAATAAAGAATATAGGAGGAGAAAAGAGAAGGAAGAAGAAGTTGCCCTGGCCAGATCATATATTTTAACAATTAAAATGATGTTTAAATAAAAAGGTCTTTACCTGGCGCCGAAAAACCAGTAACAACGGTGCCAGGCGGACCTCTTTGGGGAGTGAATTCCATAGGTTGGGCGCCACCGCAGAGAAAGCCCTCCTCCGAGTACTTACTCTCCTAATTTCTTTCATGGAGGGTTCCCGGGAAGGGACTCTCCCGCAGATCTCAAAGGGCGGTCGGGCATATACGGACGTAAGCGCTCGTTCAGGCAGCCAGGACCCAAGCCGTTTAGGGCTTTATCGGTCATAATCAACACCTTCCTAGCAGTGGGGAGCCAATTCGCATGAACCAGCCTTTTGGAGTTTATTTCAAAGTTCAGGAGATGAGGAGACCTCCTTGTGCCAAAGCAGCAGCAGTCAGAGGTGTGGATAAGTCAGCTGCAGGTGCTATGTGGGCTGAAAGGCAAGTCGTAAGTGTATAAATAAATACATTACAGCTCTATTCCACCTATTAATTCAGCACAGTGCAGGAATTAGGGTGGCCGTGTGTCCAACTATACAGAGACAGTCCTCTATCTGAAAGGCTGTTCAATGCAAAATCAGTTT